CAGACCAGAGGGCGAGGGCAGAAGTGAGGAGACCACTGCATTGGTCCAGGCAGTGGTGGCAGTGGACGTGGAGAAGAGAGGACAGATTCTGGATAAATTCTAAAGGTGGGACTGACAGATTTGCTGACAGATCACATGAGGAGGGTGTAGAACAGAAAATATTTGTTATAAATCCGTACTGGAGAAGCTCAGAGAGTAATTTTGCAGTTAGTGTTAAACAGTGTAGTGGTTAAGAGCAAGGATTCTGGAGCCAGGAGGTCTGGGTGTAAGTCCAACTTCATCGCTTACTGTGTGATCTTAGGCAGGTCATTTCATCTCTTTGCCTCCATCTCTACATCTATGACATGGGATAATAACTGTTTCAGTTTCATAGGGTTGTTAGGAGGATTAAAGGTTTTCTATGCCTGTAAAGTGATGGGAACAGTACCTGGCACAGTGTGCTTGGTATTAGTAATATTACTGTAGGGTGAGTTAACATGTTCAGCTCATGAGTGCACATCAGAGAGCATTCAGATCCCAGAAACAGTTTGTGCAGTTTTCAAAGGATGAGCAAGAAAGTCAAAATGTGGCTGGGGGCCGGCCGAGTGGTGCATTGATTAAGAGCTGGCTTGGGACGCCAGCTCTGAGCAGCAGGGCCCCGGTTCAGATCCCACATAGGGGCCAGTGACACTGCCCTCTACAGCTAAGATGGTGAACAACAGCTCAACCTGGATCTGGGCTGCCATGAGTCGCTGGCGACGGCGTAGGCTGCAGCCCCTGCTGCAGTGGGCTGCCATAAGCTACTGTGTGTGGCTGGCAGCCAGCGTGAGCGGCTGGCAGCTGGTGTGAGCTGCCAAGAGCCGCCGTGAGCAGGCGTCCAGAGGCTGGCAACCGATCTGCCTCACCTGGGAAGAGCGCAATGATAATACCAACATGGGCCAGTGAAGAAATGTCCTCCACAACTAGACTGAAGAACAAAAGGACAGCAACTTGTCTTTTCCCCTTCCCCTGATTCCCCAGCGCTGATCCCCTCCCTCAATTCCCCAATAAAATCTTTTAAAAAAAATGTGACTGGAACATACCCTGATCGAGGAAGAGCAACAAGGGATGAAGTTGGAGAGGAGGCCTAAGAAATCAGCTTCTCCTCACAGCAGCTGGAAGCAATTGTGGATTTCAGTGTGGATCTACCATTGCAGGGGGTTGGAAGAGAGACAAAAGCAGAAATTTATTTGGGATTTATTGCAGGGGGATGCACAGAGAGGAGAGAGAGGGATGGGGCACTATTGTCAACACTGCTGGCTGGTTACCAAGTTTCTAGTGTCCAGGATAAGAAACTTATTCCAGTTCTACTTCCTTCCTGGGTCCAAATGCTTGTTCTAATAGTATCTACTTCTGTGGTCATGAGCAGTAAACCCCTTTAGGGTTCACTTTCCTCATCTTCAAAGTGGGGCTCAATGTTGCATTTACCTTATTAGAGTGGTTATGACAATTACATAAGATGGATGTAGTAGTAAGAACTCAGTAAATGCAGGCTGTCACCAAAACCAGTCAGGGCTTATCCCAGGAAAGCAAGGGTAGCTTAACATTTGAAAAGCAATGAGATGTAGTTTAGTGTATTAGCAGAATAAAAGCGGGAAGAACCAAGGGCTGTGCCCACTTAATTATATTGCTTAGGACTGAGGTACCATACCCAGGGTCCATTCTTTTCTGGCCCCAAACCCCTCACTAGATAAAAAGAATTAAGATCTTAAGGGCAGAGCAGCCCCAGTTCTAGCCTGCGAAGTGATTTCTCCCCTTCTTGGAGTTGGTCATTGACTTGCCTCACAGGCCTTATCTGCACATTCAGCATCCACAGCTGTGTGTCTCTGGCTCCTTTTTTTTCAGATTCCAGCTTAAATCTACTTCTCATTCCTCCCCCTTCCCCCAACAGCTCAGCAACACTAACCAAACTCCTATTTTAATGATAGTGTCAGTTTCTAAATGACCTTTATCACTTCTCTTTCCAGCTATTGGGTTGTCAGAAAAGTCATGACGCATTTTTGCAACAAAAAACAGAAAAAATACGTCATGACTTTTCCGACAACCTGATAGAATGGCAGCTCCATGGGTGCAGGGACTGTTTGTCTGAGTTACTGCTGTTGCCCCAGTGCCTGCACCTAGTGGGGGCTTGATCAATATGTTGGAAGGCTGGCTCACTATTGCAGCTTGCTGGGGGTGCTCAAGTGGTCTGAGGTTTTTCCCTACTTGCAGGAATCTTGTTTCTGACTCAGGCCATGGAAAATTATCACGATTAAGACTTTAGGGATTGTGAGAACTTTGGCGTCAGAGGCAAATATTTTCCCATCTGGAAATGGTAACATTTAAGTTATGACCTTATGTCACAACCCCCACTTGTCCCTTTTAGGAAGAAACTTCGGGGATGAGATAAGTGAATGAGGACTCAGCGGCTGCACTCGTTACACCTCAGCTCCATGTCTCCTCCCATTTCTCTCTCTGGCCTTGATTCTCAGCATACCCTTGTCACCCCAAGCTACCCAGGCTTTCCCTCAAATCATGCTCCTGTTTGTTCTTGAAGATGGGGCCCAACTCCAGATTTCATTTTAGCCTGTGTTAGTAATGAAAAGCGGACACAGCCAGTGTGGTTCAGTGCTCGCCTTTGCATTTTTAAACTCTGGGGGCCAAATAGACAGGAGGCGCATTAAGGAAGAAGGAGTCCAGAACAGACATGGCCCTGCCTATTTCTGCCACCATTTGAGTTGCTATTGTGATGTAGTGTTATCTTCAAACAGCTCTAGCTTACCTGTCTTTTCTGTCCAAATCTGTTTTTGTTTGTTCATTTGGCTAGGACCCTCAACCATCATTCTGACAGTAAAATAGCCCTAGTCCTGTTAGAATGAATGGAACTTGTGGTCCCCTATGGGCTTGAGCTTCTTTCTAGATGTCATGATTATAACCAAGGTCACTCATGACTTGATACCCCAGGTCTGAGGCCCTCCTTTCCCACCCACTTACCTGCCATTCATTCATGCTGATAAACTCTGCCCCTTTCTCTCCAAGCATCCAACAAACTGAAAATGCCTTCTATCATCAACTTGTTGTTCGAAACTAATTTTTAATCCAGTGAGAGTGTGTAAATGCTTAAGAACAAAAATTGAAAAAATGCAGAGCACATAACAAATGTGAAAGGCAGCTGTGGTCATTCTAATTCACATTATTTCTCTACCAGATCTACCTCTGGCAGATGAATCTATTATTGGGAAAAGTTTTTAAAACAACTAACAGTAGTAAAAATTAGTGGGTATTTTCTCTGTTCCAGATGCTAAACTTTACAAGTATTAACTCATTAGTCCTCACAATAACCCTATGTGGCAGTGTTTTCAGATAAGGATACTGAATTATAAAAGGGTTAAGTGACTTGCCCAAGAACACATAGCTCCTAGTTGGCAGAGCCTGTGGCAGTGGCCAAGTTGACTGCCTTCTGAGAAGTACTATACTATCTCTCAGAATAATAGCAAACATTCATGCAACACATGTTGTGAACACTTGCTATGCATTAATTAATTTATACTTATAACAAACCTGTCATTAGGTTGTTTTAACTGGTATCTTATACCCTTATAGGAATGAGGTTTTAAAAATAATTTTTGACAAAAATAATAATATTTGAAAATTTAATATATGAATATTGTAAAAACAACAACAAAAGAATCAATTCCGGCAATGAGACAGTAAATCTCCCTGGCATCTCTGACTCTCCTGTGATTTCTTCCCACCATATTTCTTAGGAAGCTGAGTGGTGGGATGAAAGGGCAGGGCTCTGTCCAGAGAGGGTCAAGGTGAACAGGAAATGCATTGATCACAGCATCCTTTATAGGAAAATGAACATGGGGAAAAACCAATGCTGGTCACAAATAGGGGACCAGTTCAATAAAATGTCACCCTTGAACTCCCTGGGCTTCAGATTTTATCATCTGTAAAATGGGGATAGTAATAGGACCCACAACATTCAGTTATTAGGATTAAATGGATTAATACATGTAAATCACCATGAATACTATCCAGCATATTGTCCAATAAATGTTAATGGTTACATATTTGTACAGTAAAATACTTTATTCTTCAGCAATCATGGAATAGAAGGGTATTTAATATCTTGGAAAGACACAGATAGCTTAGTTACATAGACAAGGGAGGTGCCAAGTCGATACAATACAGTGTAGTCTAGTTTTGCTAGGACATGAAAAAAGAGCAATACGTTTTTGGATGTGTCTCCTCATTTCAGGTGACTTTAGAACATTGTTCAGATTATAGTTTTTGTTATAAAATAGTGTGAAAAGTACATTTTGAGAATTGTGTCAGTTGATGTTAAGATCCAATAAGAAGCTACTAAACCTTGTATTTCAACTTTGTAAATTGTATATCCTAATCACGTTAAGATGAGTAGAGACGCAGCTTCCTGTTGAAATTGAAATAAGGATGATTCAGATAGGCTCCTGGGATCCAAACCCCAAAGCTCGTTGTGACTAATTATATCTTCTGCCTTTGGAGAACTCATGCCCGGACCAAGCTTTCTGGGAGCACCAAGCCCAAACCACTCCCCCCCACCCCCACCCCCCTGCATCCTCCCCACAGAATGGACTCTTCTCCTCTTGGGAGTGTCCGGGGGCCCATCAGTCACTCTAAGAATTGGAGGACTTTCTTAGGGGCTTCTGCATGTGTGATTGTTTTATTCTGTGTTTCAAAACTTGCTTGGCCAAGATTGTGCTGTTAAACAGCAACTTATACCACTCTTTCAAAAGAAAATCACATATATGTTTTTAAAGTTGTAGTTCTGGTTTTTAGTGAGTGATTCGCATACTCGCCCCTATCCTCTTGAGTATATAAAAAGTGGTATTAGAGACCAGGCGGATAGACCTTAAAGGGGCGGAGCCTCCATCCGTGTGCGGGAAGCTACTGTCCCTTAGTGCGCCTGCGTGGTTCTCCCACGCTCTTCGGAAGATCCCTATCCATTCGCTCTGCGCTTGGCAGCGCGTCCTGGCAGCAGGCGGCCATTTTGCCTGGAGCCCGAGAAAGGGAGAAGAAAGACAGAAGGAAAGGGCGACACTGGTCTCAGGGCCGCCCCGGGGGCCTCAAGAGCCGGAGGCAGCCCCGGAGGTGGTCCCTGATCCCAGACCCCGATCTTGGACCAGAGAGGGAAAGGCGGGGGGGGGGGCAAGATGGGCGGTGAAGGCCAAGAAGGATGGCTAGGCTGGGGGAGGGGTGTTGCTATGGCGACCAGGGAGGGGCGGAGTCAGGTCTGAATTGCTGCTGTGAGTTATCCGGGCGCTGCCAGGGCAGGGCTGCGGTGATGACCATGCTAACAGCCGGGTGGGATTTCACGACATTCTGGCGTGGAGGGACTCAGTGTCTGTGGCAACGATCGCCTGGCAGAAGGGGCGGAACTAGATCCCTTCACCTGAGACGCTGACATTCCAGGCCCTTGTCCTGCAGGCGCCCGCGGGCGGACACGCCGGAAGAGGAGGCCGGGGAATGGCCGCGGTGTGGCAGCAGGTCTTAGCAGTAGACGCGAGGTGAGGCGTGGGGTCGAAGCCCGTGGGAGCGGAAGTTACTGTGGTGCATGCGCAATGGAGATAAGTGAGGGTGGGCGGAGAACGTGCCTGAAGCTGTTGCGTGGGCATGCCGGAGGTGGGCATGCGCAGTAGCATGGTTTGGGGGCTTGCCCGCAAAGGGCTGGCCAGAGCGGGTCTTAAAGAGCATGCTGGGAAAATGAAGTCAAATGTGGGCATGCGCAAAGAGGCTGTGTTACTAGAACCTTTGGGAGTGAGTGGGTGATGGGGCTCAGGCTGGTGGCATTCCTATTCTCCACCATTGCCCGCCAGACTTCCCCCACCATCATTTCTCCAGTTTGACCCCATCACTATCCTGTCATTGCCCCACACTAACCCCCATCACCATGTCAGACTGACCCCTGCATAGCAACTTCAGCAAAGCTGCAGACTGCCTCCATTGTCCCCACACTGACCTCATCTCCATGCCGTTATTACTGTAGTAGATTCACCCTCATCACAGCACCAGAGGGACCCCCATCACCACTGCTGATCACTTGCCATCCTGACCCCTCACTACCACACACCTCATTCTCCTTCCCTATCCCCTGAGCTGATTGATTCCCTCTGTCCTGTGCCTGCTGCTCGCCTGCCTACTGCCATCACAGGTACAACGCGTATCGCACACCAACGTTTCCACAGTTTCGGACACAGTATATCCGACGGCGCAGCCAGCTACTACGGGAGAATGCCAAGGCTGGGCACCCCCCAGCACTGCGTCGGCAGTACCTGAGGCTGCGTGGACAGCTGTTGGGCCAGCGCTACGGGCCCCTCTCTGAGCCAGGCAGTGCTCGTGCCTATAGCAACAGCATCGTCCGCAGCAGCCGCACTACCCTTGACCGTATGGAGGTGAGCTCCCTCCACCGTCACTTGCCATGCATACCACTTGCCTCCATGTGTATTTTACTCGACACCCTTGTCAAGCACCTGCTATGTGTGAGGGGGGCACTGTCCCAGGCTCTTAGGATGAGCAGAGGGCAAAAATATATGAGATAAGTCAATAAACAAGATAAGTTGATAAATATGCAATAAGCAAGATAAATAGATCAATAAACAGCAAACCAGATAAATAAGTCAATAATTACCATGGCTTATAGTGAGGTGTGCTAAGATAGAAAAATAAAGCAGACTAGGGGAATAAAACAATATTGGTGTGGGGGATAGAGGGAAGCTATTTTTGATGGGGATGATGCGGGAAGGCCTCTGAGGAGGTAAAAATTGAGCTGAAACTTGAATGAAGCAAGAGACTGAGCTGAGTAGTTTTCAGGGGGTATGTTCATTCTTCGTTCAGAGAACATACTGAGCAGGGCAAGGGCAGGAGCAGAGGAACTAATGCAGAGGCCATCACAGTACAGGTGATGGTGGTGGCACTGGACGAAGTGAGAAGGAATCTGGTTCTGGGTATATTTTGAAAGCTCCAGACCTCATAGGTAGTTGAGGGCTGTTTTCAAGATGCGCCCACCCCTGACCATTTCTGCTTGCAGGACTTTGAGGATGATCCTCGGGCCCTGGGGGCCCGTGGACACCGACGTTCTGTCAGCCGAGGCTCCTATCAGCTGCAGGCACAGATGAACCGTGCCGTCTATGAGGACAGGTAGTATTAGGGGCAGCTGAGGGCTGGTGGTTTGTGAGGAGAGGAGCCATGCTGTGGGGTAATGGCAGGCCAAATGCTACTACTTACCTTCTCTCCCCCCCCGACTCCTATTGGGGCCCAGGCCCCCTGGCAGTGTGGTGCCCACATCAGCGGCAGAAGCAAGTCGAGCCATGGCTGGGGACACATCACTGAGCGAGAACTATGCCTTTGCGGGCATGTACCATGTTTTTGACCAGCACGTGGATGAGGCAGGTGAGCCAGTAGATGGAAGGTCCTATCATTATGCATTTGCCCAAACTGTGACAACCACCCAGTGCATCCTTTTCTGGAATGCAAAGTGTCCAGCCCGCCTCCAGAGGAACTGACATCCATAAAGCCTTTCACAAACCTAAAAACCCTCTGCAAAGTGGTCTGCAAAATCTCAGGTACTTTTGCTACCATGAAGGGTCTCAGCAGCTTAAAAGAGCCCTTTAAAAAGGCTTCTGGGGTCATGAGACACTTGGATGAGTTCAAAGCCTTTGCTGCAGTGAAATTCCCTTGCAAAGAATAGTGTAAGTCTTGTAAACTGCCAAGACCTTCTAATTGTAATGTGCTTGCTAAGATGTAGGGGCCTTTTCACATTGCAGAAGTCTTTTGCAATCTATAAAGTACCTGCTAAGATATAGGGAGCTTTTGGCAGAGGGCTTTCTGGGGTTCCAACTCCCTTTCTCATTCAAGGAAAGCCCTTTGCTGAGGTCACTGTGCCTAGTGCGGTGGGTCCTGGACCCCGGCTCACATGTCAGAACTTGTTATAAACGAAAGCGCCTGGTAGGTGTGCTGACTCCCACAAGTGACTCTTGGCATTGCAGTCCCAAGGGTGCGCTTCGCCAATGACGACCGGCACCGCTTAGCCTGCTGCTCACTCGACGGCAGCATCTCACTGTGCCAGCTGGTGCCTGCCCCGCCGTCCGTGCTCCGTGTCCTGCGGGGCCATACCCGTGGTGTCTCCGACTTCGCCTGGTCCCTCTCCAATGACATCCTTGTGTCCACTTCACTTGATGCTACCATGCGCATCTGGGCTTCTGAGGATGGCCGCTGCATCCGGGAGATCCCTGACCCTGATGGCTCCGAATTGCTCTGCTGCACCTTCCAGCCGGTCAACAACAACCTCACTGTGGTCAGGCTCCAGGGCCAAGAGGGCTGCTCTGGGGCATCAGTATGTGGGGGGGGGTCCCCTCTAGTCCATTGCTGCAGTCCCCTGGTGGTCAGACTCAGAGAGAAATGAGTCAGAATGGGGGCACACAGTTCTTGGTCTGGGATGGCCTCATTGTGGTCCAGTGGGGACTGGTCAGCGGGTAGGGCCACAGGTCTGACAGCCGTTCGGTCCCATCAGTAGTAGTCCTACCATTTTTCAACTGCAATGGCTGCTGGTTGGGAAGCAGGGTTACTAGTCATAAACCTCAGTGGCAGTTCTGTGGTCTGACCCAAGGGTAGAGAATCAGAGGGTGGGGGACAGTGAGGGGAGGAAATGAAAATCTGGCCTGGCCCTGAACAGGAAGTAGGGGGAGCTGGCCGAGTGAGCCTGTGCTCTGGGATCCTTTCAGGTTGCAGCAGCAACAGCCCCAGTATAGTCAAGGCTCCAGGAAAGACCAGTCAGGGAGCAGACGAGCTATTATGGGCCTGGGACAGCCCAAAGCTTCGCCCACCACAAGGGGCGTAGCCAAGAGGCAGCACTATGGGTCTGCAACCCTTTTAGTCCCCAGAGCAGCTGTCTACTCTGGTCAGATTGAAAGGGGCTGGTTGGGGAGGATTACAAGCCTGGGTCACCTCTAGTCTACCTGCCACGGCCCCACTGTGAGTAGACTTCAGTAGGCAGCAGCTGTTCCCATCAACAGCAGCCCACTGTGGTCAGACTCAAGGAGGGACTGGCTGGGAGCAGGATGATGGTATGCGGCTCTCACCCACAGGTAGGGAATGCCAAGCACAACGTGCATGTCGTGAACATCTCCACGGGCAAGAAAGTGAAGGGTGGCTCCAGCAAGCTCACAGGCCGTGTCCTCGCTCTGTCTTTTGATGCCCCTGGCCGGCTGCTCTGGGCAGGCGATGACCGTGGCAGTGTTTTCTCCTTCCTCTTCGACATGGCCACAGGTAGGCAGGCCCAGGCCTGCATCTGGGTACTCACACTCCTGCGCTCTTGGTGTGTAGCCCTTGCCCTTACTTTTGCCTTCTCTCCGTTGTCGTAGGGAAACTGACCAAAGCCAAGCGTCTGGTGGTGCATGAGGGTAGCCCTGTGACCAGCATCTCTGCCCGCTCCTGGGTCAGCCGCGAGGCCCGGGACCCCTCGCTGCTTATCAATGCTTGCCTCAACAAGCTGCTGCTCTACAGGTGGGTCTCCCCTGTCCAGCCACCTGGAGATGAAGGGCCTGCTGGCTCCATCAGACTGGGATGGGAGCCCTGTCTCCTCCATCAGGTTAACCACTGAATGGGGAGGTCTGGTCTCAGCAGCATCATCATTATTATCATCATCATATAATAATGACCTCACTAGTAGCAGTAATAGTAATAGCAGTAGTTAGTACTTAGGCAGCAATTGCTGGGACCGGGTGCTGTTCAAAGCACCTCATACATATCACATCATTTAATCCTCATAACAATCCTGTGAGATGGGTGCTGTTACTGTGTACATTTTACAGATCAGCAAACTAAGGCATAAAATGGGCTAGGGCCCCCTTAGAGCAGTGGTCTGTTTCCTTGCCTCTTTTTTTATCTTAGGCAGAGAGTTTACTGTCCTCATTCACATATGTCATGTTACCCAAATGCAGTTCTCAGCCTGGGCCACATGCTGGAATGATCTGAAAGGCTTCAAAAGTCATGGTCAGGCTCCACTCCAGGTCAGGGATTTTAGAAGCTCTGAGGCAGGCTGGGCATTGGTATATTGAGAAGTTCCCCAAGTGATGTCAGCCAAGCCTTAAAATGATTGCCCAACAGGATGCTTGCCATTTTACGATTTTCTATTTCTTCTCCTTTGAAAAAATGTATACGCACACTTAAACAATTTTTAATTTAAGTGTGCTTCTAAGGTTTTGGACTGTTTCGCCAATCCTCTCCCTTCTCTCCTTGCTTCTGCCGCCCTGGCCTCCCCCTGCCACAGTCAGGCGTATTAACAACTTTGTATGTACTGTTCCATACTTTGTTCCCTCTCCCATAGTCCTTGACGTGCACACACACCCAAACATTTCTGAGGGAGGGTCATTGTTTTTACAGAAGTGGGCTCCTTCTACACCCTTTTCCACATCTCACTTTTCTCACCAGATGATACCTGTGGACATGCTGCAGGTCACCTGCGGTAGCTTCAGTTCATTCCTTTGAATGGCTATGTGGTATCCACAGCACAGAGGAGCCATAGTTTGGGCAGCCATTTCCTCTCTTTGTGCCCATCTGAATGCCAGGATCTCAGAGACCCTTAGGAAGAGAAACTAGTGAATTACACTGCAGAGGCTCCCCATTTATATCAACAGATACAGTGTCCGAACTGTCATTAACCCCCACATACCAGCCCATGCTTTATAGGTTTATGCAGTCATCTCAAAACTGGATTTCATGAACCTTGAAAAGAACTCAGGCGCAGGGGTAGGGACATAGACTAGTGCACCTATTTATCCCTCTCTGGGGCTGAGGCTGTGCCCTGACCTGCTCTCATCTTCCCCTCAGGGTGGTAGACAATGAGGGGACCCTGCAGCTGAAGAGAAGCTTCCCCATCGAGCAGAGTTCGCATCCCGTGCGCAGCATCTTCTGCCCTCTCATGTCCTTCCGCCAGGGAGCCTGTGTGGGTGAGTCCCATAGGGTTGGGGTATCCAGGTAGGGGCAGGCACAGGGTTGGTGCTGATCTGGCTCAGACGTCATGACACCCTGATACCCTGACTTCCTGGGTCTTGAGATCTCTCATGCCCCGAGAGCCTCCCACTTTGAACACAGAGCCCGAACCAGCCCAGAAGCCTCATAACATGAGACACAGACCCCCCAAAAAGCTCAGAGGCCTCACACTCTGAACACAGAACCAAAACAGGTGACCTCCCATCTAGGGATGGTCCCTCCAGAGTCCCCCCCAAGGCACACTGGGACCTCATACCTTGAACTTAAATCCCTCAACACCTGAGTCACCTCAGAGAATTCACACCTGGGGCACCCCACCACCTCCTACGACACTTCCTGATGGCCTCGCCCTCTCACCTGGACAGTGACAGGCAGTGAGGACATGTGCGTGCACTTCTTTGACGTGGAGCGGGCAGCCAAGGCCGCCGTCAACAAGCTGCAGGGCCACAGCGCCCCTGTGCTGGATGTCAGCTTCAACTGTGACGAGAGCCTTCTGGCTTCCAGTGACGCCAGCGGCATGGTCATCGTCTGGAGGCGGGAGCAGAAGTAGGAGCCTCCCAGCCCTGCCGTGTCCACCTTCCCACCTGGCCCATGCTCCAGCCTTGTGTTTGTAAATAAAGTTCCTGTGGTTGTGTTGATGGCTGGCTCCCAGGGCTTCTGGGGGTGGGATGGGGGAGAGGGCAGCTCTAGGACCCAAATGGGATGGGGTTCATTTATTCATTCATGCACGCATTGATTTATTCACTCATTCAGTAACCATTTACTGAATGTCTGCCATGTCGTAGGCACCACTTTAAGTGTTTTAGTCATGCATTAGACAGACGTTACTGAGTACCTACTGTGTGCCAGGACCTGTTCTAGGCCCTGGGAGTACAGCTCTGACCTAAGCTGACAGAAATCCCTGCCCTCATATTCTAGTGGAAGCAGGTAGATAATGGGCAAAAAAATATATCCTAGGTCAGCTAAGATATTCCTGACAGCGTGAAGTTAAAGCAAATACCTGAATGAAGTGGGAGAGGAAGCCATAGTGTGTAGGGGAGAACATTCTAGGCAGAGAGAAAAGGGAGTGGAAAGGCACTGAGGCTGGAGTGTGCCAGGACTAGAGGCCAGTGGAGGAGGAGATGAGGTCCGTCAGGCCTGATCCTAGAGGGCTTCGTGGGCCACAATGAGGACTTGGGCTTTTTGTCTGAGTGAAGGGTGAACCACAGACGGCATTGAGCAGAGGAGGGATAGGATCTGACTTGATTGTAAGAGGATCCCTCTGGACACTATGAAGAGAACAGACTGGGGGGCAAGGGCAGAAGCAGACGACCAGTCAGGAGACCCTACAGTAGCAGAGGTGAGCTTGATGGGGACTCGCGCCAGGGCGGTGGCTGCAGAGGCCTTGAGGTGGTGAGTGTTGGCTTCTACCCCAGGGTTTCATCCTAAGTCTGCAGGGCTCTGCTGCCTCCTCGGGGAGGCCAAGGCGCCCACCCCCACCCCCAGGGCAGCCGCTGCCTGGGCCCCACACCTGTCTGTGTGATAGGTTGTTACCCACAAGTAAGGAGCAGAGGTGTTGAGGACTTGGAGTACACGCAGGTGTGGGAGCAATCATGGGCCCTAAGGCTGAGCTAGTGGCTCTTGCTAGTGGGGTGGAGCGGGTGGAAATTCGCTCCAACCCTGAGGAACCCCAGACCACCCACAGCTCCTCCCATCCCCACCCAGGGCCCAAAGTCGAAGCCTGAACAGCTCAGAGACCATCAAGTGGTGTTCAATATTTGAAGGGAGCCCTGAGTGAGGAGAGAGAGCTTGGGGTTTAGATAGGGGGTAGATAACCAAAATCCCTTGGCAATGACCTGAGTTATCAGGAAATGCTGAAGTTGCCAGAAGTGTCAAAGAGCCTCTTGCTCTAGTTGTTCCCTTCCCTGCACCTCCATAGGCTGCCATGTCCAGAGACATCAGTGGAAAGTGTGACAACTATCTTGAGACCACAGGGTCAGTCCACAGTCACAGGAGATTCCAACCTGGCCCAACATTGTTGAGCTGCTGAACTAACACCAGCAGTCTTGTTGAGGGAGGAAAATAGCCTCCTGTTTTTTCAAGCCACTATTATTTGACAGTGTGGTTACTTGGAGCCAGAAGCATTTCTACCTGGTAGAGCAGGTCCTCGAATACAACGTTGATGAGATGCCATAGGAACTTAACTCTTGTTTATCAATTAGTCTATGGTAAAAATTGGTTTCATTATATGTCATTTCGCTTAAAGTCGTAGCGTCTATCATGGATGTTAAGTGAGGCCTTACTGTATGTACTTCCATCTGACAGACCTTAAGGTAAATGGTGGTGAGATAGGGATATCAGAGCTGGACTCTTCAAGATCAAGATCATGTATGGATGTGTGTTGGAGGTCCTCAAGACCACCCAGACTCAAAAGATTCACAAGGAGGACTCTCAGTCTCAGCATATGGTTGTATACACGGCTATGATTTCTTCCAGCAAAAAGATACAGAGATCAGTCAACAAAGGGAAAAAGTCCACAGGGTGAAGTCCAGGGGAGACCAGGCACAAGCTTCCAGGGATCCCCTCCCACTGGAGTCACACAGGACTCTTAATTCCCCCAGTCTTGAATTGTGACAATAAGTGCAAAATGGAACCTCGTTAGAGACTCAGCACCCAGGGTTTTTATTGGTGGCTGATCACGTGGGTAGCCCCTGCCTGGCACATACCCAACTTCCAGACTCCCAGAAGGGAAGTAGGTGTCTAGCATAAACCACAGTGCTCGTATGAACAGCTAAGGCACAGTGAGCCACTCTTATCATTTAGAGAGTGATGAGAACCCTTTCAAAGTCTTTCCAGATGCCAGCCAAGGGCCAACCTTGAAGCAGGCCTTTCCAAGGAGAGCAGTTCAGGCATGCTCTGTTAACTCTTTTATGCACAGTTTGCAACATCAAAAGGAGTTCCATTTCAACAAAGGTTGGTGGATGGGCAAGATCATTCGGGAGAACCTCATTTTTCTCTTATATTAACACTTTCTTTTCATACTCTTCATGTTTTTTATCGAGTCTGGATTCAAGATGGCTGACCATGGATATTGTCATATACAGGTTTGGGGGTTTCCTCCTTGTGCAATTTTGAGGATGTAGAGTTGATATTCTGCTTTAAATTCATCTTTATGATACCTTTTCTTGATTTACAGACTAAGGGGAAATAAATAATGAACAAATAATAAAAAACAATCTTATTACTCAAACTTGGGCCTCTGTTAACTATCCATTATCACTGTGCCTCTGGTTTAACTCAGGTCTGGAACCCTTAAATATTCCACCATCAATGCCACTCTAGTCTTGCCTCAAATTCAGCCCTCAATGAACTATTCATGCCCTTTGTCTGATTTTGAACCCATGTGTTTACTTCATCAAGAGCCTCTCTGATCTGAGCTTGAATCGGGCCTTTGTTAATTAATACCCCATCAGTGTACTACTGGTCAATTTTCAAACTAGGGCCTCTGTATAAAATTCTACCAGCTACTGTCTTGCGATCTGACCTTGAATTTGGGATTCTGTTAATTGTGATCAATGCCCTTTTGCTCCATTTCAACCTTGAGGACCCTTAGTCCTGATCTTGAATCTGGGCCTCTATTAATTATTTTACCATCAATGCCCATATGGTGTCAATTCCAATCTGCACTTCTATATTAACAGTTGTACCATTAATGCCCATGTGGCTCAAACTTAGGTCCAGGCCTCTGTTAACTAGCTATTCTACCATCACATCTCTTTGGTCTAACCTCAAATGTCATCTCTTAACCTTTCCTCCACCAATGCCTTGCTAGTGTGATCTCAAATCTAGGCACTTTTAACTCTACCGCTATCAGCATCCATCTGGTCTACCTTTAAACCTGGGCCTCTCTACTAGTGCTTCCACCCATCAAGACCTATGATTTTACTTTGAACCTGAGTCTTTTTAACTTTTCCACTATCAGTGTCATGGTGGTCTAAACTTCAACCTGTGATTCTACTTATGATTCCACCATCAATAACTTTTTGTCCTTCAATCCAGGCCTCAGTTAACTCATTATCAATGCTCCTCAGTTTTGAAACTTGAACTTGAGCCTCTGTTAAATTCCACATGCGATGCTCCTCTGGCCTGACCTCAATGAACTATTCCACTATCTATATATACCCCTATGATCTTACCTCCAAACCTGGCCTCTATTTACTATTCCCCTATAACTGCCCCTCTGATCTGACCTTGAACCTAGGGCTCTGGTAATACTTGTAGCATTGATTCCCTCTGGGCAGACCTCAGACTCATGTTCCTATTAACTATTCCATCATCACTTCCATTCTCTTCTGACCTTGAACCTGAGCTACTGCAAACTATTCTACCATCAATACCCTTCTGGTCTTATTTGAAACTAAAATTCTGCTGACTAATCTTTGGTCCAACCTTGAACCTGAGTTTCTGGTTAATATCTCACCATCACTGGCTTTCTGCTCTGACTGGGCCTTCTTGAACTCGAGAACTATCAAGGCATCTCTGGTCTGACATCAAATCTAGACTCTGTTAGTTTTTACTCCATCAAGACCCCCTTTGATCTGAATTCTCACATGGACATCTCTTAACTAATTCAACATGACAGCTTCCTCATCCAACCAAAACTCAGAGCTTTTGTTAGCTATTCCATTGCTGGTGTTCCTCTGCCCTGACCTCAAACCCAGACTTCTATAAACTGTTCCACCATCATAGGCCCTCTTGTCTGACTGTGACTGGAGATTGTTAACCATTCTAACATCAAGGTCCCCTGATATGATTTTGAACCATTCCAAGATCTCTATGTTTCTGGTTTGACCTCCTCTATTAACAATTCCATCATCAGCACCTTTCTGGTCTGCCTTAAAAACGGGTCTCTGTTAAGTATCCTACCATCACTGCTCCTTTGGTATGACCTTGAACCCAGGCCTTCATTTCATATTCTAACTGAAAGGCCCCTCCGGTCTCAAATCAAACCTAGTCCTCCATTAATTCTTTATCTAAGAATGCCACACTGGTTGCACTTGGACTTCTTTTTAACTATTTAACCTTCAATCCTCTCTGATATGACTTTGAACCCAGGTCATTTTAACTCTTAAACCACAGTGCTCCACTGGTATGGCTTCAGACCCGATCTACTATTAACCACTACAACATCAATTTCCTTCTGGTTTCTTCTCAAACCAGGGTCTGTTTTATTGTCGACAATTCTACCTTCAATGTCATCCTGGTCCCTAATCAAAGTTCTTCCACTACGCTTGCTCTCTCATTTGTTTGATTCTTAACCAGGACTTGTTTATTCTTCCCATATTCAAAGATCTTCTGATCTAATTACCCAACACAGCCATTTAACTATTTCAGTATACTCCTATTTCTCCACTCCAGGCCTGCCTACAAACCCAGTCCTCTGTTAACTATACCACCATCAATTCCCTCCTGGTTTGACCTCAAACCTGATCCTCTGGTAACTACTCTGTCACTTGTGCCCTTTGGATCTGTCATTGAACTTGTAAAGTTATCTCTTCCAACATCAGTGCCCCTAGAATCTGACTGTTCACACCCCATTCATAAACCCTAGGCTCTGTTAACTATCCTAGAATCTATTCCTCTCTTGACTGACCTCAAACCTAGATATTTATTTGATTGTCCCCATCCCTGTTTCTCTGGTCTGACCCTAAACCAGGGCCTCTGTAACAATTATACCACGAATGCCTCTCTACTCTGAGTTCAAGCATTTGCTAACTCTTCCAACATCAATACCTCTCTGTCTAGATATTCAAACAAAACAATTGATAACTGATTAAAAACCCTGGCCCCTCTTATCTGACCTCAAATCTAGGTCTCTTTATTCTACCACCCGTGATTTTTCTGTTGTATTATTGAGCCCTGTGTATTAACTCTTCTACCATCAATATACTTGTGATCTGACTTTGAGGCATGGTCCTTGTTAATTCTTCCCCTGTCAGTTCCCCTCTGGTGGTATTACCTTCCACTGGGCCTCTGATAAGGCTACCACTACTAATGCTCCTCTGGCCTGACCTTAAACAAGGGCTTTTATTAGTAATTTCACCATCAACATTCCCGTTTTAGAGCACTAACCCAGGCATGTGTCAGCTGAAAATATGACAGTCATGAATTTCTATATTCCACACACCAGAGACCGAGCCTTTAGCTACAGGAATAGAAGGTCACTAATTCAACCTTGCCAGCTTATCCATATGGTTGGATAAGGTTTAGCAGTCTCCACACCAGACATTAAAAAATGAAATAGGGCTGGCCGAGTGGCGCAATGGTTAAGAACTGGCTTGGGATGCCAGAGGGCCCTGGTTTGGATCCCACATATGAGGGTCAGTGACACTGCCCTCTACAGCTAAGATGCTGAACAACAGCTCAACCTGGAGCTGGGCTGCTGTGAGTTGCCAGCAACGGCGTAGGCTGCAGCCCCTGCTGCAGCGGGTTGCCATGGGCTACCATATGTAGCCAGCAGCCAGTGTGGGCAGCCAGCAGCCTCTGTAAGCAGCCATCCAGAAGCCGGCGGCTGGTCTGCCTCTCCCAGGAAGAATGCAATGATGGTGCCAACTTGGGCCAGTGAAGTAACGTCCTCCACAACTAGACTGAAGAACAAAAAGGTAACTTGTCTGTTACCCTTCCCCCAATTCCCCAGTGCTGTTCCCATCCCCCAATTCCCCAATAAAAAAAACTTTAAAAAATGAAATAGATCTATGAATTAGGCTTAGTGGATAATGAATGGAAATAGAGGAAGTGGACACATGGTCTACCTATTTTCCTGCCCCTGGACCCTAAAAAGAACACTCTTATGTCCTTGGGTATTCTCTCTTGCAGTGAATATGAGTGGCCACAGGTATGCCATTGAACACTCCTATTATGAGGAGTGATCTTGATCTTGTAAATCTTGACTTGACTACCCTAGGTCCATCTCTTATTTTTTTGCTTTTTTTATTGAGGTATAATTAACATATTTTATATTAGTTTCAGGTGTACATCAGAGTAATTTGATATTTGTATATATTGTGAAATGATCACCATAATAAATCTAGTTAACTAACATCCATCACTTCACATAATTAAAGTTTTTTTTCTTGTGATGAGAACTTTTAAGATGTACCCTCTTAGTGACTTTCAAATATGCAATGCAGTATTATTAACATAGTTAATACTGTACATTATATCCCCATGACTTTTTTATTTTATAACTGGAAGTTTGTAGCTTTTGACTCCCTTCACCTATTTCATCCCCCTCTCCCACACCCACCTCTGTCAATCCCCAATCTGTTCTCAGTATCAATGAGCTTGTTTCTTTGTTTGTTTTTTTCTCCTAGGCCCATCTTCAGGTGCTTATTCAAAGGGAGAAGTCACTGATGGTCAAATTCTACCTGACAGCCTCATCTGAATAAAAAAAGATGTGCACTGCTCAATTACTGAACCACAAGAAACCCTCAAGTTATTTTTAAAATTATAATGGCCATAATCTCAGAACATAATGCAATAATAATTAGAAATTAGCACACAGTTATATAAAAAAAGGCAACCAAACTCCTCCTACCACATTGAGGTTTTGCTAGAGTCTCGGAGGAGGCTGTTTCCTCCATCTGTTCAGAGCAATGCTCTAGTATTTCATGACAGGCTTGATTTGGTCAGCTCCCAAAGCAGCAATATTACTCGTTCTTCTGTCAAAGATTATTCAAGTGCCAAGTACCATCGCTTCCTACTCCTCATATTTTCAAGCAAAACAACCCGTTCAACACTATTTTTTACACTGCATGTTACATGTTTCAGTAGCTCCTGGAAGACTGATTTCCCAGATCCAGAAAAGTGAAGTCCATCTGCTGTTTTCTTGGGCGTTTTGACTTTTTTATTCTCTCAGAGCCAGATGGAAACACGTTCTGAATAAAAGCCAGCCCTGTGTTTTCATGCTCTATCCCACCTGCGTGGTTTGCCAGGCTGTTTCACAGAACACAGTGCCAGCAAAGTTCACACGCTCACTTCCTGCACCTTTCACCTTGCACCGCTCCCTCCAATTTTCTCAGGTGAGTTTTATTGACTCTTTCAACTAGTCAGATATCTACATTCGGCTGATAAACAAGGTAGCCTTGCTACTCTGCTGCTTTCCCCAAGCTGGTGTAATTCCTGGTGGATTCAGTGTTCAGGCCCCTGGGATCACTGGGGCATTTTATTTGGGTCTTTGCTGAACAGCCGTGTCACAAGTTGGGTTCTGTGAACGCAAAATTTGACATGAAGTTTCAGGCATAAGACATTTGTTTACTAGGGATTGATTCCTGTGCAGGGAAGTGGGAGGAAGCAGGGTTGGGCAAACGAACAGTTGACCTGTGGTGCAGGCCCCACAAAGTCTTGGCCGCCCAGCCTACAGCTCTGGAGCAAGCATTGCCTGTCAGAACACTCCCTATTGGGAGGAAATACCAGGCTTTGTACTGCTGCCCAGCTCAGAAACCATGCGGGCTGGCCCCGGGCAGGGCGTGACCTCAGAGAGGAGGTTCTCCAAAGATGAGGCCCACCCTGTGGAGCTGACAGCTGCCAGCAAGTACTTCCTTGAAAGTGTTCTGGGTAATGCCAAGAAAGGCATGAGGAAAGGGACTATGAAAAGAAACAGATGCCACTTGGTAAGTAACTGGGGACCCAGATAAAATCCTGGTTTCTCCTTTACTCAACCCATGGTCCTGAGCCAGTCACCTCACCGCTCTGTGCCTCAGTTTCCTCCAGACTCAGTTAAGCGTTCGGGGGTCATTTTATTTATTCTTCTGACATATATTGACTGAGTCTTTACTGTGTGCCAGGCACTGTGCCAGGATATAATAGTGAACAAAACAAGGAAAATCTCTGCCCTCAGGAAACCGACATTCCCAATGACCCCTAAAATCCATCCAATGATACAGACTCATAGTAGTGGTCACCCCTGGCCTCACTTGTAGTGATTGTGACACAGTGAGAGCCCTGGTCTCAATGCATATTCAAACAGATGACAGGCTGGTGTGGAAACTGAAGAAATAATCAACTGGATCCATATGGTAACAGGAAGGAGGGAGCCACAGTGGGTTCTTGAGCAGGAGTGCAAAGAGATAAGTGTGGAGTTTTAGAAGGGCTATTCTAGCAGCAGGCAAGAACAAAGGTGCAAGAAAAAGAAAATTGTACTGCTGCATCTCACCCTGCTCCTCACATGGGTCAAATAAGGGAAAGTAGCTGAGGCCAGGCCACACTACCTATCCAGCTGTGTTAAATGTTCATTTTTGGTTTGTTTGCAGCCAAGTTATTGCCCATCAGTGGCAGCAATGATTGGGGTTTTGGTTTTATGATCTGACTATTTGGTGAGCTCTGTGAATGAACGAATGAATGAATAAATGAATGTTGGGCAAGGGACCACAAGGCATCTGGTTAATCGGCACCTCTTACAGCTCTTGCCCGGGGGCTAACAATGAATTGAATATTTAAGATCTCTGTGTCTGTGTGTCTGAACTTTGAATACTTTAAGTGTGCTAGACTTGAAAAGAGTCTTCTTTCGTAAACGAACTTAGAGACTTTTAAAGAATCCAGGTTCACATAATTAAGGTAAGGCAGTTCACAATTATCCACCCCTGACTTCTCTGTGAAACAGAAGTTAGTTACTTTAGTAAAAAGTTACAATTAATGGGGCCGGGCAAGTGGCTCAGTTGGTTAAGAGCACGAGCTCTGAGCAACAGGGTTGCCAGTTTGATTTCCACATGGGCCAGTGAGCTGCGCCCAAGCTCAGCTGCCACTGAGCTGCCAACAGGTGGCAGGATGGCTCAGCTGGTGAGAACACGTGCTCCTAACAACAAGGCTGCTGGTTCGACTCCCACATGGGATGGTGGCTATGCCCACCAGCAACGAAGACTGAACACGGCACCTTGAGCTGAGCGGCAGCTGGATGGCAACTGGACCTGGAGCTCTGCTAGCTGCGCCCTCTACAACTAAGACTGAAGTACAACAACTTGGCTGTTCCCCTTCCCCAATTCCCCAACACTGTTCCCCTTCCCCAATTCCCCAATAAAAATCTTTTTTTAAAAAGTTACAATTAATATAAGTGGTTGCAACTACACTGAGAAGCAGTAGTGACAGAGAAATACAACAGTGCATGTACTTTTATTTTACAAGGTAACAAAATAAAAGCAGTGGCTCACAAACGTTTTGGTCTCCCACCCCCCTTTTACAGTCTTAGAACTTATTGAAAACCCCAAAGTGCTTTGATTTATGTAAATGGTAGCTTTTGATATTTTCCAGGTTAGAAATTAAGGCCGAGAAAAATTTAAATATTTATGGATTCAGTTGATGATAGCAATGATGAATGCATTGCATGTTTAACATAACTAATACCTTAGTATTATGAAATTAGTTCTGGCCTTGTGGGCTCCCTCGCATCTGTCCTCAAGTTAAGTGCCACTTTGTCACAGAATATGAAAGAGAATAATGAAGGACAAAATTTGGAAAGTGAATTTCATTGGCCTTGGTCTCTGATATGTGAGTCTTGGAAGAAGCTGTGTGATGTGTTCCTATCACAGTTTGTTCAATTTTGACGAACTTGTGTGCTCATCTCCTTGGTTTACTGTTTATTGTCGTCGCCCACAACATGAATGGTTATTGTTTTACTTCCTCTCTAATCTGCCTAGACAGCAAATACTCTGTTTTTCCAGAATAATTTTCTGAGCTTTATTATGTTCTTAATTTATCATGTTCTTAATTTTGCTTTATTATGTTCTTAATTTATCAGGCTCTTAATTTTTTAAGGAAAAAAAATTAAAAAAACAAAGTTTTTTCACTTAAGTTCTTTACAATCATGTGACTTTCTATGTTTCTTTTTATGTTTTATTGTCACTTTGGCTAAATAGGTAACCAATATTGCTTCTCAGTCACCTGTGATCCTATCTTCATCAAGTGTCCAAGTCTCCTCTGCATTTTTTATTTTTGTCTTCCCCCAATCAGACTTAAATATTGAAAAAAAATCAACAAAATAAAATTCCGCTTTCAGGATCTCTTTTGCACCTAAAACTATCTTTGAGATTTCACACAGGGCCCCTGGAAATTCACAAAGATCTGTTTTTTTAATTTATAAAAAAGATACTAGAAATAATTCAGCTTATCTGATGTGTTACTATTGATGAGTTACATGGGAAGAGCTGGCAAACAAGAAGAGATCCGCAGCCTTTCCTAGGTTAAATTTGTATGGTTAAAATGTTATTTATTAATATAAATATTTTAGAAATGTATGCTTTATGGGAATTCCCTGGAGATTTGTGCCCTTGCTTTTCATAGTACAGAGGGTGCCAAAAAAATGTAAACACATTTTAAGACAGGAAAAAGCTGTATTAATATATACTTATAACAAAAGATGAATACAAGTCACGTTTTACTTCTGCAATTACAAGAGGTACTCAAAGTGGTTACCATCAGCGTCCAGACACTTCTGATTATGGCGAACTACTGCTTGAGCAACATTGACCAAAGTGTTAACATCTCTTAAAATGTATATACATTTTTTTTGCCACCCCGGTATGTTGAAACTCAAAGGAAACACTGACCAAACTCTTATGAAATATTTCTGTTGAATTTTACTATATTTGTCAGTCCTGGTGGTACTTTGCCTGGTGATATAAGACAACAGCAGTATAGAATTTCAGCCACGATCTCAGTTATTATTTTAAGTGTTTACTTGGTCACAACCTTCTTTAATTTAAATCTAGCATCTTCTAGGCCAGTGGTTCTCAATGCACATCAGTGAACTTACCCATAAAGTTTTATCAAAATACAGATGTTCAGAACCTGCTGCAGACTTACAGAATCTCTTTACTTGCTATTCTTGGCATATTATGTATACTATGTCTTAGGGTTATTATATATTATATCTCAAGATTTTTTGCTTCATAAAACAATTATTCTTTTTTGTAGATCAGATGTGGTGTTTACTGGCTTCTTTGAAAATAGCCTTAATCATTGATCTTAAAGACACTTTGTCTAAAAAATTTTTTGGAATGGTTTAAAACCACAAACATTTATTATTTCACAGCTTCTATTGATCTAGAATCTGGGTACAGCTTAGCAGGATAGTTGTGGCTCAGGGTTTCTCATGAGGTTGCATCTGGAGCTGTAGTCATATGAAGGCTTGAGTAGAGCTGCAGGGTCCACTGCCAAGAAAGCCCACTCACATGGCTGCTGGTTGGTACTGGCTGCTGGCTGCTGGCTGCTGGCTGAGGCATTTCAGTTCTCCTCCATGTGCCCTCTCATCCTCCAGGGCCTCTCTTTCACATGCAGCCTTTCCAACAGGATAGCCCGGACTTCTTTGCATTATTGTCTGGGTTCCAATTGAGAGAGGGATGGAGGACTAGAGAGAGAAAGAGAGAGAATCAGAATCTATGATAGAAGCTGCAGTATTTTTATAAACTAACCTCAGAGGTGATATCCCATCATTTCTGCCACATTCTATTTGTTAGAAGTGAGTCAGGGGGCAGCGGTTAGCTCAGTTGGTTAGAGTGCAGTGCTCCTAACACCAAGGTTGCCGGTTTGATCCCCACGTGGGCCACTGAGATATGCCCTCCACAACAAGATTGAAACAACTACTTGATTTGGAGCTGAAAAAAAAAAGGAAGTGAGTCAGTAAATCCAGGCCACACGCAAGGGGAGAGGATTACACAAGGGCATGAACACCAGGAAGTAGGGGTCATGGGGACTATCTTATAGGCTGTCTACCACACTGCCTCTAAGTTGTGTGGAGCCCTGGGCAAATATTTTTTGCAGGGCCTGTGTCTATATACACAATTTGAATTTAAAAAAATGTATTACAGAATCATGGGTCCATATGAGTTATTGTGATTTATTGATGAACATTTAGAACACAGTGCAGGGTAGTACTTGTGTGTTTGTTTATTGTCCAATCAATGCACCTGAGGAATCCTCGTAATTGTCCAGACTCCATCTCTTCCTGTTAAGGTCCAGGAACCATCTCCTTGTGTTCTTTATTTATGTTCTTTATTGTCAGATGTGCCATTCCTGGCTAACTTCATCTCCCACCACAAGAAGATAGCAACACCATTGTTACTTACAATGCCATGGCTCTGTAGAACCTGTTTGTACTGGGAAAATATAGATCTTCTTGCCTCTATAGGTCCCTCATAACATTTATTTAATGCTGGTTACAACTTACTTGTAACACTGCATCATCCATTGGGCTGCTCATAAATACTGGCTTCCAATGACTCCTCCTTCAGAAGTTGTTATGGTGCTTTGTTGATAAGGACCACGAAAACAAGCAAGCCTTATGCAGAGTATGCAGGAAAGTGTGAAAAATACTTTATTTTCTGGTCATGTTAAATTTACTGTTTGGTATGTTATAGTATAAATATAGAAAAACACATCTTGTAACTGTGTATTCTCTTGAACTCTTTAAATAGTAATTACTGCATCCCTAGAATGAGATCTGTTGCGAGTGTGACTGCACCCCTGCCTTCCACACACCACCAGTGAGGATGAAAACAAAGGGCCCATGGCAAAATAAAAAGAGAAGTTTCATTTGTACAAAGAGTGTCCATTATTCATCTGGCATGGCTTGAGACTGACCTGGGGGAGCAGGATGTCACTACATTGATGAGCCAAGTGA